AAAAAAAAAAAAAAAAAAAAAAGACCTCTGGGTTAATTCCTCAGCACCTCTCTCCAGCCTGGTTCCCATCAAAGATAGGGAATCTCCCAGCGGTATTCCACGGCGTGACCACCAGGGGGCGCTACAGCTGCAGGGAAGGCCGTCCAGGGGCCTCTCCACCCACCCCCTGCACAGCCCCGAGGCCGTGCAGGCCGCACTGGCCGCCCGGCAGCTGGACGCCCTCCGTGACATCCACGCGCGGCTCCGAGTCCGGCTCATGGGTGGCCGCCCGGGCCCCTGCCTCCCGGGCCACAGCTTCCGCCTGCTGGACAGCTTGCCTTGCGTGGAGAGTGGGGAGGCCCTCTACTACCGCGTGGTGCGCATGGACGGGGTGGCCTGGCACGTCCTGGCTGCCAAGGTGAGCCTGCCCCTGGCACCCAGCACACCCGGGTGCCCTCCCTCCTGGGCACGACCCAGGGTGGCCCAGCCCAGTCCACGTGTCCACTTTGCAGCTCAGACATGACTAGACGCCTGGAACCGCCTGTCTGAATGTGGGGCCAGCACCTGGGCGGCACCTGGGGTTGTGGAAATCCCTCCCACACCTCTCAGAGGCCAGGGGTCCGCTTTGCCTCCTGCTCGGGCCAACTCGGCTACACACCTGAGTTCCAAGGCTCCTGGGTCCAAGCTGGGCACCGAGGCTCATGCCACAATCCCAGCGGCTCTGGAGGCTGAGGCAGGATCACCAGTTGGAGGCCAGCCTCAGCTACTTAGAGTAGTTCTGTTCTCAATACAGAACACTAAAAGGGCCGGGTGGCTCAGGCGCAAACTCCCCGTGTCAATAGTCCTAAGGCGTGAGATGGCCCCATCGTGGGCTGGCCTGCTACCCGCGTCCAGCCCGCATGAGAGCGTCTTTCTGAAAACCGGCCCGGAGCCCCAGCCCAGCTGACTCTGGAGCCTCTTCCAGGCGCGGGCTCTCACCTCCCAGAATGCTGGTCACTGAGTCTGTCGGTCACCCACACTCCTGAGCACCCGCGGTGTAGCTGGTCCCCTGGGAGTGTGCTGGGTCAAGGGCACACCAAACCTCAGTGACACTAGTCTAGACGACATCCCTCACCACGTGACACCCAAAGAGCTTCTTACTCGATGGCCTCTTGTTTTAAACACGGGGTCCATAGAGACATTATGAAAATCACCTTCACCGGCTGCCTGTCACGGCCTCCAGTGTGGCTAGTGGCCAGCTTAAATACACAGGCCGGCCGTATTTCCATGGGACATCCTGGCCTGGGTCCTGGCTGACACCTTCTCCCTCGGTGAGAACCACTCTTTGGTAAACAGGGACTTGCCCCTGACCACCCTCCTCTCGGGCTCCATTTCCCTGAGGCCATTGTTAGCCACTAACATCCAAAGGAACACGGATGACCGATGATCCATGATCTGTTCCTGGAGGTGCTGGGGCCGCTGCTCCAAGCCTGGTCCAGGGGGCTGAGGCAGGCAGGGAGGCTTCTAGAAAGGTAGGCCCCCCCTGCGGGCTGTGCTGGTTGGGGGACGCAGTGGTCTGATGGCCCCCTCTGACCCACAGGTGCCCAAGCCGGGAGCGACCATGCCCCACCCATGGGGCGTGGAGCTGCAGGCCTCGTTGCCTCCGCACTTCAACCTGCAGGGGCTGTGTGGCTTGGTGCCCGAGGGCGCGCTGCCGCTGGCGCCCTGGAGAGGTCCCGCGGTGCTGGCCACGGAGGTGCCAGAGCGTACAGTGGCGCAGTGGCTGGCAGAAGTCAGCGCACAGCGGCCGGCGGAGTCTGCGTGGGAGGTGGCCCTCTTGTTCCTGCAGCTGAGCGCCGCCCTGGAGCGCCTGGAGGCGCAGGGCGCGACCCTGCTGGAGCTGCGGCCAGAGAACCTGCTGCTGGCGGCGCCGCGGGGCTGTGGGGCCCCAGGACCCCCGCGCCTGCTGCTGGCCGACTTTGGCTGCGTCTGCCAGCTGCCCCAGGGATCCCTGGGCGCCCATGCGCTGCAGATGGGTCGCCTGCTCCGCACACTGCTGGGCCCGGCCACGCCCTCGGCCACACCGGTGGCCGTGGGCCTGGAGCGCCTGGTAGCCCAGCTGCCCCGAAGGCGGCCCTCGGCGGCTCAGACGCGGGGTGCACTGCAGACACTGCTCTGGGGGCCGGGGCTTGAGCTGCGTGGCCGCGGGGCACCGCTGGGGCCCTGGCTGCGGGTTCGCCGCGCGCTGCTGGTGGTGCATCTGGCGGAGCGCGCTGCAGGCGGGGAGGCGCTGGGCCTGGAGGACTGGCTGTGCTGTGAATACCTGGCCGAGGCCACGGAGGCCTCGCTGGGCCGCGCCCTGGAGCTGCTGTGGGACTGACCCCAAGGAAGAGTGCACACCTACCTGTCTCCAGGCCTGCTGGAGAAGCAGCACCCCCTTCCCAGGACTGGGACAGGGCCAGCATCGCCATCAGAGTGCAGGAGGCCAGCAACCAGCACAGAGTGTTGCTCCCACCTGGGCGGAACTCACCTCCCCAAAGGCCCCGGCCAAAAAGTCCCAACCCATATCTCTAAGCAAATAAAGCGCCTCCCGGGCCCTTGCTAGCTTCTCTCCTGTTTTCTGCTACTTGCGGCTCAGCTCAGTCTTTCTTACCAACTACCTTGCCCATAGGCTGAGCTCCCTAGGCTGGGCCAGGCCTGGCACACAGCAGGTGCTCAATAGCATGGTACTGGAGAGACTGACACTGAAGCCACCTGGGATCCCAGTGGCTCAGGAGGCTGAGGCAGGAAGATACCAACTTTGAGGCCAGCCTCAGCAATTTAGCAAGGCGCTAAGCAACTTAAGACTCCATTTAAAAAAAAAAAAAAAAAAAAAAAGACCTCTGGGTTAATTCCTCAGCACCTCTCTCCAGCCTGGTTCCCATCAAAGATAGGGAATCTCCCAGCGGTATTCCACGGCGTGACCACCAGGGGGCGCTACAGCTGCAGGGAAGGCCGTCCAGGGTATCTTCTCCCTCCTGCCCCCATCTTTGGCCTTGACCCTCAACTTACCGAGCCCATCAGACAGGGTTGAAACCCGCCTGGGCCTGTCCACTTTTGCTCAGGCCCAGAACCAAGAATGCCACTCCCTGGGTGCTGCAGAGTGAGGCTGTGACAGACACAGAACTGGAGACTGAGGGCCCATGGCCAACTCCCACACCCACTTAGTCCACCAGGACTGCCCCCTGCTGGTGGACAACCTGAGCCCCTGAGCCACCTGACCTGCCAGGAAGACTAAGGGACCAGTCAGATGAGAACACTGGGTCCCTGGGGATCCAGTAAGTTGCAGCTGTTCACTTGGAACTTGGGGGAAAGGGCTGTGACTTGGGTTCAAGTCCCGCAGCCCCCCACCAAGCTATTGAGGGGGCCAGAGACTGTTCCAGAACCGTCAACACCAGCCTGATACCAGCTTTGAGTGTGGGGCAGCAGGGTAGGCTCAGACCCCTGGCTACTGTGTACAGGTGGCCCAAGACCCCAGCCCAGGACGTCCCTCCCAGGGCCCACTCCCAAGTTAACACCATGGAGCCAACAGAAGTGTGACCACTTTTATTGGGATTTTTGAGAGCAATAAAGGGGTAGGTTAACACCTGTCTCTCCAGGTGAAGAGACCAAAACTGTTTCCAAAGACTCCAAAGAAGAAACTCCTCAGGTACAGATAATCTGAATCATCTTAAACCAGCAATAAAAAAGTAAAATATAAATTTTTATTTAGAATTAAAGCAAATACTTCAGTATCACAAACACAATATTAAACTTCAAGAAATATACCACTAATTTGGAGTGAGCGTTTATTTGCACAATTACGACATGCGGACAAACCCAGGAGAGACGGAGGAGGAGCAGGACGTTCTCGCACCCCAGCACAGCTGCCAGGCCCCCACCCACACACACAACACTGGGGGGCCTGCCTTCCAGGGCCTCCGTCTCCAGCCCGGTGGGCCCTGAGGAGCTGCGTGGCCACTACTCCTCCTCTCCTGAAGACTCTTTCTCGAACGTGTAGGCCATGAAGCAAGCGTCGGGTCTCTTGGGGACAAGGGGATGCCCTGGTCTCACAATCTCAAAGCCCAAAAAGCTGAAGGTCCGGAGCAAAGCGGCTGCGGGGGAAACACTGTCAGCCTGCAGGGCCCTGGACACCAGAGGGGCTCCCAGCAGTGAGAGGAGGCAGGCAGGCAGACCAAGAACTCCCACCAGGTGCAGGCGGGTGGAGGTATGATGTGGGAAGCACCTCCGCTCCCCTCACCCTGCAGAACCAGGGTAGCAGGTGGAGTCACCTACCTCTGTCCTCGCGGTTCTTATGGAAGCAAATAAAGACATGGTCAGCATGAAGTTGCTCTTCAGCAAACTCAAGAAGAACTGCAAAACTGAAGAAAGCACAGATGTCAGCACCCTGTGCACCCTCTGGTTCTAGCCCTGGCCCCGTCCATGTCTCCCAAACCTCATTCAAAGTGGACGCCTGCCTCTGTCCCTGGGTCCCCACAGAGCATTTCGGACTACGCCATGTGTTCTCTGGGCATGGCATGCCCCTCGTATCCCATCAGGACAACCAAGAAAGGTCTCCAGACACTGCCACTGTTCCCTGGGAGCAAATTCTGTACGTGAGACCTGCTAGTGCCCCATTTAAAACGCTTCCCCCGGGGCTGGCCCTCACCTGTCTTTGCTCCCCTCAGGCAGAGCGCCAGCTGGGATCTCGATGTAGAGGCTGTTGCTGCTCCACACTGCTCTCCAGTTAATGTGTTTGGCATCTGTGAGCCTGGACTGGACGTTAAGAATTCTCGTCTTGTTATTAGACGTTAGTTCCTCTGTTACATTCAGCCGATTATCCTGTCACAGGAGAGAGCCCAGACTGCTATTTTGGAAACCCATCACATGACCCATCACTCCTCAAAGCAAAAGCAACACCCGATGGCTGCTTGCTGACAATCTGGAAAACCCAGAAAGCACCACGGCAGGGTCACCCAGCAGTGCTAATACCTGGGCCTCAAAGCATCTCAGGGAGGTGGCTGAAGTCCAGGACAGGGGCCCCAGTTTGAGGCTCCAATGGGAGCCAGCAAGATTACTTGCTGCTTGGGGCCTTCTGTGCACCTGGTTTGATGAAGTTCAAATTCCATGTGCAGGGAGCAGCAGGTAACTTCTGCTCAGGCCCACGGGACCGTCATTTGGGAATCACATTCTTGCTCTATCCCCACCCACACACTAACCAGCCCAAGGAGCCCAAATACTTACAGAGTAAAATAAGTTAGCTGAAAGATTGTGATCCCTCTGACTATTCCCTCGCCCACCTGGGATCTTCAGGGGTGGGTGAGGGACATCAGGAGCACCACCGAGGCCCTGGACCCAGGTTACTACAGCAACTGAGGGAGACCCTAGAACTGGGAGAGAGAGGCTGGTTAAGGGGGCAGCCCAATCAACTTCGCCTTTGTCTGCCTTCCAGAGTCCACTCCCTACTGCACTGTGCCTTCCCGAGTCATGCCTCTGGGCTGTCCAGGGTTTGCCTAAAGCCTTCAACCTGGACAAGAGAAACAGTGGACGGGAATCTGACTCCTGGGGAGATGGTGATGCCCACAATTCTCTGCTCTGACCATCTAGGGATGGGCAGTCTTGCCCAACCCAAGCCCGCCACACTGAAGTTTCCTTCAGTTTCGTGATTGTCATTTTTGTGAGCATCATATTAATGTCACTCAACTATTCTTCCCAGGTCTCTCTTCTCTAACTGCTGACAGTTTGTGTGTGTGGATATGGTGTTTCTAAATGAAGTTGCTTTGGGGCGAAGATTCTTTTCATCTTGTTTTAATGAAGCCAAATTGGTGCTAATTTCTGTCAGATTCTATACCAGATACTGCAAAACAACTCTGCTTTTGTGAAGTGACTGCAAGAGATGCCCAATCCAAGCCCGCCACACTGAAGTTTCCTTCCCATTTCTAACCTCAACACTTCAGCTTCCCCTTTCCAACTTCACACTCCCGCAAGAATCTGAAAGTCTAGCTCTTCTCAGAGAAGAGCCACCGGTCTCTAAGGGAACCTCCCTCTCCCTCTCAGGCGCAGACCTTTTGTCGTCAGGCAGAAGCCACCAGGGCGCACAGGCTCACAGCCTGTTTTGATCCCAACCCTTGACAGACGGCCTGGCTCCGCCCCTCTGGCACCCAGGGCTCAGGCCCCGAGTTGCGTCATACCGCTGACTCGCCTCAAGCCCCAGGGGGAGTTTTTCACAATTGCGCACCCGGCAGCTCCAGCAGCCATTTGCTGCGCAGTGTAAACAGCCCCCAAATCGCCTCCATTTTGCACAGCCTCAAGGGGGGGGGACCAGACAGCAGCCCCACCAACACAGAGGTCAGTTTCCCAGCCGCGGGAGCCATCAACGCCCACCTGGGAAGTCTGCCTCGGACGCCACCCCAGCAGAGGCAGGGCCAGTACCCCGCCAGCCGCAAACCACCGCCGCCTCCGGCCCCGCGCGCACAGAAGCGGCCTGGATCGCTCTTCCCAGCAGGCGGCGGCCATCGCCGCCCTGCGCTCCGCGGTACTGTCCCGCCGCGCCAGTCACAGCAGAAAAAAGCCCCGAGCACTGTCTACGTGGGCGGCCTCGCCCGGAGCACGTCCAGGGCCTGGGCCATCCAGACCAACTCCCTCCGGAGCTCGAAGCGGAGCCCACGAGAACGGCCTTAACAGGGGACCAGCTTACGAGAGAGAGTCCAGCCACGGAGCGCCCACGGTCCCTGCAGGCAGTCAGGGGCGGCCGCGACCGAAAAGTGCAGATTCATGCGACCGAAAAGTGCAGATTCATGCGACTGCCGGCCCCAGTCGGCCTCCGGGCAGCCCAGCCCCCACCCACCCCTGGATCTGACCCGATCCACACCAGGTCCCGAAACAGACTCCTCCACCGAGGCCCCAAGCCACCGAGCCCAACCGACACAGGTCCGGCCCTCGACCCCACCGGACTCCCTGTCCTGAGCGCCCCAAACCTCTTCCCAGGCTCACTCCCCTTCCCCCCGTCCCCCTCCACACCTGATTCCCAACTTCAGGCCACTCCCCGCAATGCGACTCTCCGTTCCATGCACTCGAATCAGACCCCAATCGCACCCCAAAGCGGAGACTGCAAGTAGAGACCTCCAAACCCTACCACCCCTGGAGCCCACCTCTTCATCTCGATCCCCTACTCCACTCCCCTCCCCCAAGCCAGTCCCCAAGCTGCGACCCCTAAACTAACCCCGAAGAGAACCCCTCTCCCCGATCCGACTCCCATCCTGCGACCAAGCCTCGCACTCGACCCACACCCCGCCC